TTATAGTAGTGTTATGGGAAGTACTTGCTGAAAGACCATCGATTGTTGTTAACTATCCTTCTTCTATAGCTTCTGAAATACTGTAACTGCAGAGCTTGTGTAAATCATTAGTTTGTTGTATTGTACTTAAGGCAGCTGGTGTTGCTTAACTGTATTCTATTAAGTTCATATTTCCACCCTTGTTTTGGACATGTTAGAGCTTTGGAACAGGAAGGTATGCACATGGTTCTGTGAATGCAATGTTTGTGTTCAGAAGGTGGAGATGCTGGCTGCCTTTATGGGCCTCTAAAGCTAGTCTGGTTTAAGCAGTCAATGCTGGAATTGCAACATAAATAGCAGCCACAAACTGTCACTAATTCTAAGCAGATATTTGCTTTCTCTTCTCCTTACCTTCAAGCCCTTTAAAGGACAAGGTTTATAATACATCTTGAATTTTTAAATGTGCAGCTCTATTAAAAGCATGTGCCATTGAGGGTTCCGTTGCTGAGGGTATGGTTTAATATTCTGAAACTGCTTTATAATGACTCTTAACAACCGTAGCACAATACAGTATGCATGGAACTTGTTAAAGTTTTGCTAGTATACTGTGGTTCCTACTGAGAGACCTTTAACTGACATGGGCAGTTCATTCTAAGAAAAATCTTGTATTTGCACAGCCAGTGGTACACTGGACAAACAGCCAAGAAGACCCACTCTAAATAAGGAAATTCTAGCCACAAGAAATTTGGAAAATAAGGTAATAAGCAAAAGAAGTGCTTTGCAACCTTCATAACATGCCTCTTCCAATAGTCCTTCTAAGGCTTTTATGTACTCTGTAATGTGTCTCAAGTGCTTTGGCTGGAAGAATCTCATCCCAGATGTAATGCAGTGGGACTTAATTTTCTCTTAATTAGAAACGTTCCTCTGAGCTTATGGTGCATTGAAATTGTGTTTTGAAAGACTGGGGAATAATAAAAATATAAGTGAAAATCAGCTATTTACATGAGTGTCTTGGTCTCAGTGGCACATCCTTTTGAAAGACTTTGGAATTGTTGAAAATGTGGTGGTCAGAGGTCAGATGGATACTAGTGCTGTAGCTGTCACAGATCCAAGACAGTGTTGAGACTTTTAGTTAACTGTAGCTGGTACTTCTACTCCCTTTGTTCTGGTGGTTGCAGGTTAATAACTTTAAATTTCATCCTCTCATTGTGTTTGCTTTTTCTCATTCATAGAGGTCGTGTAATAAGGGAGAGTCTGTACAGTCTCAGAAGGAAAATGACTTGCAAGTGAGTAATTAAATTTGCTTATTTCACAGAATTTTATAGATTATAGGGAAATGTGGTGATCCTGCTTGTTTTAAACCAGTAGTTATTCCACCTGGACTGTGTCTAGAAAATGTAAAAGGTAATGAAGGAAAGAAATTTATTTACTCACAGAAGCAGCATTATGTGAGTGTCTGGACATAGTTTAGAAAGATTCAATCATCCCACATTATGAAGAAAAAGACCCCCAGTTCTACTCTAAATGGTTTCTTACCATTTTGAATATTGGTATCAACACTGCTATTTCTAGTATCAGACTCTTCTTAAGTAGATGAACAACTGTTCTCTGCTTTACCTAATCCCTCATTTTTTTAATGTATTGGTGAACTCCTATGAGGAAGGTACATGGAGGTGGAAAGAACTTGCTCTTGAACATGAAGTGTTCCTGATTAGCACTGTGCTTGGATCATCTCTGCTCTGACAACTTTAAAGTTCTTGCATTTGGAATAATTTCTTCTCCTGCAGCATAATGTTTAACTGAGTTATCTTTTTATAAAGTCATGTGAATGGGATTTGGTAATTTAGATTTCTACTGTGGCAGTATTTTCTCAGTAAGGGAAAGCATTGCAGCTTGCTAGCCAGATGCCTTGGTTGTTATGTTCTCTGTTTTCAGCTCTGTAATGGCAGTGACTAGGGAAAAGTAAATTTTACTTAATTGATAAGTGCTGCTTTTCTCCCCTTGTATTTTTTGCCTTCTGGCAATGCCATCTGAAACACTTTCAAGCATTTGTTTGGTTTCGGGGGATTTTTTTCCTACTGAGTTGAAACTGGTTTTAAATTTTTTTGTTGTTGAATGACTGCTTTTGAAGTTTTGTTGAACTTTGTTTAGCTTACTGGAACAGCTTCAATCAGCTGAACAAAGATTGAACAGAAAAATGTACTGGTTTGATACCTCAGTTTTCAAAGATGAAAAATGGAGATGGCTTGATTTCTTCTCTACCATAATCCTGTAAGAAATAAAAGTTAGTTTAAAAAAACCCAAAAGTCCAAACAAGCCCCACTCCGGTGACAGAAGCTCATAGAAGTTTTGCAGTATAGGAAACAAGGTTTTGAACTTCAGAAGTTCATTTGTGGTATTTGTTGCTTGAAAACGCTGATTCTCTGCTGATAGGTTGTTTTCTGCTATTAATCTCATAGTGCTGAAATGTCACTCTTGAATCAGTGTTCTCAAGAATTACTGTCAGGATGGATTTGTTAATTTTCTTGTGTCTAGGTTATGAGAGATGATATCCTTTAGAGAGAATCAAATTCTCTGGGTTTGCTAGCAAAAGCATTGTAGCTTCTGAGCTGCCTGGTGTGTGACAATTGTCTAAACATTGGATAGTCTTGTCAGCTCATAAGGTCTTTTAACAGGAATTTGTTTTACTTTGGTTTTGCTATAATTGGCAGTAATTTTCCTTAGAATATGACTCTTTGTGTATTTTATAGTGAAATTTTTGTTAAGGCAGGAAAAAAGCAGAAGCTTCAGTTCCATCTGAAGTGTAGAAAGGCTTCTGATCTCTCCTTGCCTGTATGGGATTTGCATCCTGGGGAAGTCTTGTAACAAATGTGTATAATAGTTAGCTTTGAAACAAAACATTGATCTCTAAGTATTCATTTAAAAACATGAGTGGTCCAATTTTCTCCAGAAATCAAAATACAAGTGCTTATGGGTGAATCTCTGAAACTGGTCAAAATTGAGAGCTTTAGATCTTAATAACAGGTTGTCTTGGCAAGCATGAGTATGTTGCAAAGTGTTTGAAGTCACTGAAGTATATAATTTCCTTGGTTGCAATGCTTGATCCTTTAAAGTAATCAGGTGAACATTAATCTGAAGAGTCAGATACCTGGATTTGTTCAGTCTCCATATGAAGTATGCTATAGAATTTTTTTCATGTCCTTTAGTAGTTTATTTCCACACCTATCCCATGTTTGACAGTAGTGTGTGGAGTGGAGATTTGGTAAAAGGTCCCTTGGGTATTAGGAAGGAGAAGCCTTTGTGTCTGAGATTACATGGATGGTATTGTTCCAAAACTCTCATTGGACTTGTGCTCAAATAACCATTTGGTTTCAGTGAGGAAGTTGTTCTAGTGCTTGCACTGCTGATGCATGAAGAGATGTCTTAATGAATAACAGGATTTTTTTGTACTTCCTGTTATCCAAGAATAGTGAGCTGCTTTTCAGTAAGATACAGAAACAAGTAACTGACACCTTAATGGGAAGAGACTTAAAAATGCTTGGTGTTGTACCAGGTACTGTCCAAGTCAGTTTTGGTTAATAATAGTGGACATTCAGTAGCTTGCAACTAATTTTCTTTTTGGTGCTTGGCATTGTTTCAAAACTGAACAGAAAGAGTTCAGACCTGTAATGATGAGGGCATGTAAAATGATTAAAAGCGTTTTTGGTGTGTTAGCGGCTAAAGCATTTGGTGCTTTGAGGAACTAGCATGAAAAAAAGGTGGAGAACATAGATGCAATACATTCATATGCAAATTGTCTTAAAGTCTCAGTTTTCCACAACACAGTTACATGAGTCTTTATTGCACTTCAATATGAAACACTAGAACTTATTGAAGATCTCAGAATAATAAGGTGTGGAACAAGAATAAAAATCATTTCTCAATACTGTTGCCTGGAGTGTACTCAGGAGTGGAACTTCTATAGAGTTGTTTACTGTCTGATACTGTGTTGACTGCAATAATGCAAAAGGATCTGTGGTCAGAAATACCTGAGAGCTTTCTTGTTGTTATGCTTTTTATTCTTATGCTTTTAAGTGTTATGGGTTTGACTTTGAGATGAGTTGCTCAAAAATAGACAGAGGCTTGGCAGACCTTTAGGATTTGAGTAGAGCTGGGTTCTGGTGAACATAATTGCAAGTAGAGATTTATAATGTGACCTCTGTGTTTACTTATAGATAATCTTACCCATCCAGAAAGCTACACTTCAGTGATTTTTAACTGTGTTTTTGAGACTAAATATTTCATATTTCTATTAATTTTTAAGCACTCGTATTAAAAAGCTGTCTGCTTGTCATTGTTAAGAACCAAGCCTATTGATGTAAGACAAAGAGAAAACTTGAGTTATGTTTGGTGGTAGAAAGGGTAAAACACACATGTTTTTTAGCAGAAGCTTAAATTACTTCCTCACTTGAAAAAATAAAAAAGGGAATACTTAAAATGTGCTTAATGAAAGGAAAAACAAGTCATTCTTCTAAATGAAAAGTTGTTTTATTCAATAAAAACAATATTTTATTATTGTCTGTTCACTTCATTCACTTGTGTAGCTAAAATGTCCTTTTCAGAGGCAGTGTTCTGGAGAGTGTTAAAATAGCTGATATAGGATAATATTTGTTGTTCCTTGTTGTGTTGCAGTGGGACGAACTCCTCCAGGAAATGGATTTGCAGAGTTCCCACAGGTTAGAGAGGAGGTGTTTTGGTTTTTGCAGTTTTGTTGTTTTTTTTTTTTTGATCTGGCCCACAACAGTACCTGCTAAGTAATACAGATTTTTCTCCCCAGCTTTAATTTGAAAGCAAAATACTTGTATTGCTCCCATCCTGACTAAAAATTATTAGTCAAGAAACTTTGATTAGTAAAATGCTGTGTCTTTTCAAAGCTAGCCCTAAAATTTCTCACTTGGTAACAGTTTAGCTGTTTTGCACACCTGAGGTAATGTCTGTGCGTTCATATTAGTGAATAACTAATACTTTAATTTTTTTGGTAGGGGGCAGAAGCCATGGTTCTGGAAAGTGTTATGTTTGCCATTCTTGCAGAGAGAGCACTTGGGCCAAAGCTGTATGGAATCTTCCCACAAGGGCGACTGGAGGAATTCATTCCCGTAAGTCTGGTCATAATTAGTCAGTGGGCTGTTGGAAGCTGTTTTAATTGATCATGACGAGGAGGTCTCTGGACTGCCCAGAAAAGCAGGGATGTGGGAATGGAATACTTGACCGCCTGTAGTAATTGCTGGCTGTCATTTGATACAGTTAAGAGAGTGGGTGTTGGAGAGCCCCATTGTAGCTCTTGCCAGGGGGAGATATCTAAAAACTCTTCAACTCTAGCAGAGGCTAATAAAGGAAGATAAAAAGCCTGTTAGATACCAAACATAGCATGGGGAAGCTGTGGAGTAACACTTCCCTTTAACAGCAACAAGAGCAGATGCTTTTGATGTTCTTAAATATTTATACTTGATCTGCTTTGAAGATATTCTTAGTGTGAGATGTGATACTCCCCAGGTCTTGAATCTAGAAGTGACTTGATTAAGTTGTAAGTAGGGCTGGCTAGCAGCTTTTCCAAAGGCAGCAACTTTGTAAGTTCATCTGTGAGCAAAAAAAGTATAGCTTCAGTACTATGCTAGTGTTTCACACGGTACTGCATAGAGCCTAATGCTAGGTTATAATTAGTCACAGTTCTGTAACTCATCAATTAACTGCATTTTAAGAATACTGTATTTTATTACAGAGCAGGAAACTGAGCACTGAAGAACTAAGCTTGCCTGACATATCTGCTGAAATAGCTGAGAAGATGGCCAGATTTCATGGCATGAAAATGCCATTTAATAAGGAACCTAAGTGGCTTTTTGGAACAATGGAAAAGTAAGTTATGCAATACTTTATGGGAAAAAAGGTGACCTGTTGTAATTTTGATAAGCAGATCATTCTTCCTGAATGCCTGAGAACACAAGCTTTCACTGTACCCAGAAACTATCACATAAAGGACTTCAGTTACCTTGAAGAACAGTAATGTTTTCTTCAGTAACTCTTTCAAACTTCCTTTATTTTAGTTTAAATGGCATCATAGTATGGGAAGAATAATATACTCATTGTTACAAATCCTGTATTCTTGTTTCTTTTTTTTTTAACAGGTATCTAAATCAAGTGCTGAGAATTAAATTTACCAGAGAATCCCAAACCAGAAAACTAAACAAACTTCTCAGTTACAATCTCCCTCAGGAAATGAAAAATCTAAGGTAGGTTTATTTTGTCTACTACTATCTTCTAATCTCCACAGTTTCTGGATGGGTTTTTGTATACTTGTTCAGACATGTTATACAGTATAACACTTTATATTCATTTTACTTTGCAAGCTGGGGATTGTTTTTGGTTCTGTGACCAACCTGAGTCTCATACAAGTACAAAATTCTATGATGAAATTGCTGATCTGGCTTCCTGATCATGATGTCAAACTTCACTGTGCTGATGTTTTGTTCCTAATTGAGAAAATAGGCTGTTGGCAGGAGGAATAGTGTTTCAAATTCTTAACAAAAAATTACCTGGAAGTGGAACTGAACTTTGTGATTTGTTACTTAAAAGATGCTATGTTGCTTTTTTCTAGAGCAATGCTTGAAGCTACTTTTTCACCAGTTGTGTTTTGCCACAATGATTGTCAAGAGGGTAAGCTGCTAATACTTCAGTATTGTTCAGTAACGTACTGTTGAGCCTTTTCTGGTTACTTGTTTGCTCGCTGAAAGGTAGCCACATTCAGAGCTACTGCCCTGAAGCAGCAGCCTGTGTACTCCAGTACCAAAGTAAAGTATGGGCTTCTGCAACCCTTCAGGCGTCTTCAGAGAACTCTGGTGTCATGAGTGGGTTAAGCCAAGATTGTACTCATGCTCTGTTAGTACAGGTCAGTTGATGAAGGGAGCCTTATGTGTTTTTTGTTTAGACCATACCTTGCTTTGCTGCAATATACATGATCAGAGTAGGGGATACCTAAGTCATTTTAAAAGAAAGATGCTGAAGAAGTGCAGTGAGTGACAGTGACAATGGAGAGTAGAGTAGTTTGATGTGGCAGTTTTTAACTTGTACTGGTAAGAAACATTAGGAAAACCTTATTCACCTTTTTTTAGTGTTCTCTGGGAGTCATGGAAGGAAAAGCAATTTTCCTGAGCCAATTACTGAAAAAGATGAGGAGGAAGCAAGGCTGAAGGTGTGTTGGGTATGCTGTGTTTGTGTGCCCTGTCACCTGAATGGTGGGTAAGCTGGGCTGAGCTGGAAGGATGCTCTAGTGGGCCTGTGTTCAGGGCTGTATTCCTGTCAGTTGTCCCAGCTTTATCAGCTAAGGCTGAGGAATTGCCCTGGAGAATAGTCACATAAGGATAGGCAGCACAAGGGGAAAAAGCTGATATGAGAGATGCTGTGAAATTTATATAAATCTCAAGCTGTGGAAAGAAACAATGCAGCAAGGACTGCTAAGGCTGACAGGGCCACCTGAGCCAGCTGCAAGCTAAACTGGGGAAAGAGAATCCTTGGGAGATGAAATCTGCCTCTCCCTGTACAGAAAAAACTTTGCTTTCAGCTTTACAAGGTAAAGCTATATATCTCAGATTCCAGAGAGCTGGAAAACAGTCAGTGCAACCTGGCTTTTCCTGTCGTCATGGTTTAACTAAACCCAGCTGGCAACTCAGCCCCACAGAGCCACTCAGTCTTCCCAGTGAGACTGGGAAGAGAATTGGACAGATAGAAGTGAGAACTCATGGGCTGAGATAAAGGCAGTTAATTAGGGAAAGCAAAAGCTGCTCACACAAGCAAAGTAAACAGATGATTTCACTGCTACCCACTGGCAGGCAGGTGTTCAGCCATCCCCAGGAGAGCAGGGCCTCATCACACACAACAGTGACTTGTGGAGACAAACACCATCACTCCAATCCCTTCTTCCCACTCTATATAGTGAGCATATAGTATGATCAGTTGTTCAGCTGTATTTCCTTACAACTCTGCCTGCACCCCCAGACAGTTTTTGGGCTGGGTTGTGAAGCAGAAAAGACCGTGACTCAACAGAAGCACTGCTCAGCAGTAACAAAAACAGGCCTATGTTATCAACACCACAAATCCAAACATAGCCTTGTGCCAGCTACTATGAAGAAAGTTAACTACCCCTGCCAAAACCAGCACACCTATAATTCTTCCATGCAGACATAAGGGATAACTGGGATTAGCTGAAGAATGTTCCTTGAGATAGTGTTGCTTTTCTCTGATTTTCCTGCATTATTAAATATGCTGTATTATCTTAATTTTCAGGTAATATCTTACTTCTGGAAGGCAGAGAGAGTTCAGAAAACCAAAAGCTGATGCTCATTGACTTTGAATACAGCAGCTATAATTACCGGTAAACACTTTATTTTCTCTACAGCACAGGAGTGTGTTCCTTTCTGCATGCTACAGGGAGACCAAGTCAATAATATCATCAAAGTCATCAATAATACTGATTATTTGTCTATTCTAGTGAATTGTGTTCTGCTCTGATGGTGGTGGTTAGCATATATAACTAATCAAAACAGCTCTGGTTCTGATTCTGTTGAGTTTAGGCACACAGCAGAGGCAAAGTTATTGGGGCTCCTTGGCTGCTCAGACTAGAGGGCTTGTTTATGCACAAATGGCTTCTTGCTTGCATGTCAAAATTTCTTTCTAGTGGGAAGTTGAGGAGAAGAGTAGATTTTGTGAGCATGTCAGCTTTGTTTTTGTGTTCTTTCCTTCTGTCCTTTCTAATGGCTTTTTCACCTTTGCAGATGAGAATACAAGTTTTTCACTACATGGTTATGCAACATGATTGTTTTTCTTCACTCAGCCATCTAGTTAAGTGTTTTTAAGGATGATCAAGTGTGTATAGTTAATGAGATTAAACATCATAGCTGGAATAGTGAATTCCAATAATGTAACAGTGGAATATATTGAAAACTTTGATTATGATCTCTTTGCCTGCAATAATGCAAATATTAGAGACTTCTGACTTCACACTGAGATATAGTGCATACTCAAGTATTTTTACTGTCTCCATTGGTATAAAGTTTGCTAGCAAAGTCTAGTATTTTCATGTAGCTGGTAGCTTTCATTCTGAACTGCCCCTCTTTACGAACTGTTTTATAATAATTTGCAAAAATTTGTTTTCAATTATCAATCAATTAGGTTGATCAATTCTCTACCTCCAGCAAAACTGCAGTAAATTGAGTAGCCCAGAGCTTTTAAACTTGATTTTGCTTTAAAAAAAAAAGCAGATTGCTACTTTGCAAATACTGAGGTACTTTATTTCTTTTTCAGAGGATTTGACATTGGAAATCACTTCTGTGAATGGATGTATGATTACTCGTATGAGAAATACCCATTCTTCAAAGCCAGTGTTCTTAAATATCCTTCAAAGAAACAACAGGTAGACACAAAAGACATAGTTAAATGCCAGTGTCCATAGTCTTCACATATTAACTCTTTTTTAGTTCTCTTTTGGACTGACTGTGTCCCAAGATATTTCTTCCATGACTTCCTTAAGTGTGTAATACTTTCTGTAATCCTGACTACCTTTGCTTTAAAAATCATAGTAACTTAATACCCGTTCAGGATAGAATATTTACTGTGTGCTGTGTAGCCATCCACCACAAAAAGTCCAGTAGTTGTAGACTGCAACTATGAAATTAGCTGGCAGTAGCAACGTGCTGCCTGTCCTAATATAACTTTTCTTAAGTCAGACTTTCAAGCAATTGTTAGAAGCACCATTAATCTTAAAGCTCACTCCAACAGCTGTTGATGTTTGGAAAAAATACATGCCAACTTATTAAAAGGACTGCCTAGGTCTGAAAGAAAACAATGTATCTGGAGATGAAAAGTTGTAACTCAGTTGCTTACTTGCCTTCCAGCTTCATTTCCTCTCCAGTTACCTGTCTGCATTCCATGATGGCTTTGAAAATCTGAGCAATGAAGAGAAGTCCAAACTAGAAGAAGAAGTGTTGGTAGAAGTTAACAGGTAACTTGCCATGTATAACTGCATCTTCAGGCTTCCACCGTGGTACCTGTACTTGTGTCTGTCTCACTGGGTGGAGGAACTTGAGCCGAGAGAGACTGAAAGCTATTTATATGTGGTAAAGAACAATCTGTCCACTGTAACATTAGATATGTGATATACACTAATAGTGGAGTAAACAGAATACTATGCCATGGGGCATTATTTTTATAGTATTATAATTGAATAAAAGGTGTGGATATCCCCAAACTAGGGAATACTGTTCTAAGAGGACATTGAAATAAGGTGTTGTGACTTAGCTGGGTCTTTATTTCAGTAACATAGCCTTGTAATTTCAGATTTGCCCTTGCATCACACTTCTTCTGGGGTCTGTGGTCTATTATACAAGCAAAGATCTCATCCATTGAGTTTGGGTACCTGGTAAGTTTTTTAATTGTAGTTTTACACAACTGAAAATGAGTAATTTAAATAACCTGTGGTACAGTATTGAAAAGGCAATGGAATGGCCTCTCACAGCAACTAGTATCTAAGTGGAGTAAAGCTTTTAAAACTCCATTTGTTACAACTTTGTCCTCTTTCGTTAAGAACGTAAAGAACATCCAAGATCATAAAAACTTCAGAAATTGTTCCCATGGTTATGTAGAGAGTGTATAGCCTTGTCAGGCTATATTGCAACATTATTCTGCAGTAAGACATCCCAGGCAAGACAGGCCAAGATGCAGTGAGAATTTTGAACCGAGTACTCAAAATGCATATGTCCTCTGGTGATGTTCAGTGTGCAGCAATATTTGTGCCAGGTAGCAACTTGTACTTGAGAAACTGATCAGTCTGGCTCTTGGACTGTGCTCAGTGTACTGTAGAGTGATAGGACTGGCAGGTACATGGAGTATCTTACCAGAAGTGTTGCAAGAGCCAGCCTTTTCAGTGAAGTCCTGGTCTTTTTAGTACCTGTGTTTTCTGACATTTTGGCAGCAGCTAATTGTGTTGGAGTTGAAACAAAACTGGAGGAAATGTTAAGAAGCCAGAACACCTCTGGAGAGATTATCCTTCTAAGTAGAGCTAATTAGTGCATTGAGATGATGGATTAGCAAAGTAACACAGTTAATACCTTCATTATGTTTCCCCATCCCAAAAAGAAAACAGCTGTTTATTGAGTACTGAGTGTCCCTTATTTCTCCAGGAATATGCGTTATCCAGATTTGATGCCTACTTTGATCAGAAGAGAAAGCTGAAGGTGTGAATGTGGGAGGAGTGGCCTGTTGGTTACTGTATGAAGAGGGCAGCTGGACAGAACTTTCACTGTGCTTAGGCTACTGTATCTCTAATGAAGGTGTCACTGAATTCCAGTTCCTGGGAATGCAGGTGTACAGTACTGAGGACTATAAAAATTACTTGTTTACAGTTCCGCAAATAGTTGGAATGAGATTGGGAGGCAAAAGTAAAATACAACCATGCAATATCTTTAAATCTTTTCAATCTAGAAGCTATTTTGTATTATGGGAGAAGCTTACAATTAAGTGTCAATACCACATGCATCAGAGCAAACTTGCTGTGGGTACATTTTTGGGGGGGTGTTGGCATTCTGGTTTTTGTTGTAAGCAGAACAGCTGTAAAATCTGATTGTAGACATTGCCTCTTGAGGAGAAGGAAAAGCAAAGGAGACAACTGCTAAACTGTGAAGTAGGCTTAAAAACTTACTGTGAGTTGAAGTTCACCATGCCCCAAGAACACTATCTTCAAAGCTGCTGATACCTTACATCACTTTAACCAGAAGCAACTAAACACATTGAAGCAGTGTGCTTTAAAGTGTTAGTGACACACATATGAATGTTTCTCCTAGGCTAGTTTGCCTGGGAAGTGAAGTATGAATGAGCTTTGAACTTGACATTCTGAAGGAGTTTATTTTGAACTGTTTGTTCCATGTTGTTCAAGAACCCAGCCTGGTTTTCTTAAAATGCTATGTCCTATACAGGGGGTTCTGTGGGCTAGCAGTACTGGGAAGAGTGCCTTGAATTGCTCTAGCAGCTCCCCAGATAACTGGATTGGCATTGACGGTACTGGTAATTGAGGCCTGTCTCTCTTCATGTGTTGCCACAGTATATGGCTGTAATGAACAGTAAAGCCAAAGACTGTGGAGAACACTTCAGGAAATTGCTGTTCTGCCCATCCAGTTCTTATGTGGCTTGAGAGGTGCTTTTCTTGCACCTTCAATTCTCATCATGTTCCAGGAATCCAGTAAAGTGGAGCATCTTGTGGGGAACAATAACATGTATATTGAAACTTGAGTATAATCTGTGTACATGCCATCTAAAGATTTCTTTTGATTTTTGGGAGCTTGTTTATTTTGAATGTTACTTGTTTGTGCTTTCTAACACACTGTATTATAAACAAACTTCTAAGTTTACTCTTTTTGACTTGTATAGCAAATACTGTTTGAAGCGGCTGAAAAAATCTGCAGCATTTCATGTACTGTATAGCAGAACTTGTAAAAGCTGTCATGTTACTCTCTTGTACAGAGAATCATTTTCCATAAGTTTAGTTATTAATACTTTATAATAAATATAAAGCACTTAAAAACACTGTTGTTGATATTCTTGAGTCTGTTACAGCTGCAGGATAAAATTTCTGGCCTTAATCTGTTGGATCCTTGCTAAGGCAGACTGACATACAGGCTCAGTGCTCTGGGATACATCTTCTACTTAAATGTGTCTTCAGCAGTTATTGCACAGTTGAATTCTAATAAAAAGTAAGGTGTTTAAAGCAAGCAATGAAAAGCAGACTGAACATCAGTTTCTAAGTCTATAGCTTTAGAGGTGGGAAGAGTTTTAGTGGAAGCACTTCACTCTCTCTGCCCTGTTGACTACCCTCAAAACCAAGGTAAAAGGTACCAGCACACATTGAATTTTACTACAAACACTTCATGTGGTGTGCCAGTATGAACAGCCAGGTCACTTCTCTAAGATCCTGAAGGCTTCATTTACAATACTGTAGCACACAGCAAACCCAGTGGAAATGGCAGCATAGGGAAAGGGTGGGAACAAATAGTACAAAGTGAGGCTTTCCAGGTACTTGAAAATATTATTGATATGTAATAGGTGTCTGGCATCTTGGAAAGTATTCCATGGATAAATTCAAGTTCTTGAGAAACCACCCATGGATACTGACTCATCACTTCATGTTTCTCAGAACCAAATAGGGAAGAGGACTCAGTCACAGTAGTGCTAACTGTAATAAAAGGTGTGATTGAAGGTGATCCCCTTTAAGGGAGTTGCAGTGCCTCTTAAATTCAGAGAGGAAACTGAAGTTCCCTGGTGAGATGCTTTGGGTAAGTCTCAGAACTGCACTTGTACACCAGCACCTCTACTGTGACCTCACCAGGTGAGGAAAGACCTTGAAGGGTAAGCAAAGCATGCTCCAGCCTGTGCCTTCTGTAAACTGGCTTTTAAAAGGATGCCTCTTGAGTGTTGTGTGGTACGTTTGGTGGGGACAGAGGTAAGTCAACAGTTGTGAGCCGAGACAATCTTAGTCACTTCCTGGTATTTTTTTCAGTCTTGCCTGTTGATGGCAAGTTCTTTCTGTTTTCTTGGAGAACTTGGAGTATTACTGAATCAGTATCACTGAATTCAGTATCACTGAATATTAGAGCTGATATTTATAGGCTGATAAAGCAGCTATTTAAATGTGTTGGTACTTCATAAGATTTAATATAAAAGTAGTTAAGTATTTCTTGGTTCTTTAATTTCAAAATTATGGTCAAGCTGATTTGCTTTTCAGAAAGGCAGTTTAAAAACTACCAATTGATCCTCCTTTCACTTGATCTGTAAAAACAATTTGTGCTTGAGCTCTTTCTTGAAACTGCTGGGTTTTATCTCCCCTTTGTGAATTCTTGTCTCTAGACTTGCTATTAACTGGTGAAAATGTGACTTTTTAGTACAAAAGTTAAAAAGAAAATTTTTTTAAAGAAAGCCATTGCTTGTCTAGCCAGACAGCTCATCTCAGCCACCACTTGGATGTGATTCAGTGGGTAATTGGCCCAGTTTACTGTGAACCCCATCACTCCTACAACCACTTACTGTAAGACAAAAAATACAAATGATCAAAGTGCCTCACTACAGCTTATTAAGGATTTTCCCTGCGCAGTCTTAGGGCCTTCTCTTTAACTGGAAAAGTAGGTGTTTCTGGGCTGAATTGGATACCATTGATTAGTAAATTAAACATCTTTGATAGCTGTGATGCTACTAAATGGAATGACACTTTTTTTGGGGTTGCTCTTCTCCACAGAAGTGATTAGAGAAGTTTAATTCCAGCCCTTCCTCGGGCAAGGAGAGCAAGGAGAAACAGTAGCAAAAAACAACAGCAGCTTTTGCTCTCTGTGACTTTGGGCCTTTCCACCAAATGCAAAGGTACTTGCCTTAGTGGGAAGAAGCTGAGATTTACCAGCATTTTGATCTCTTACAGTTTGAGAACTGCTGTGTTTTCACTGCAAGGCTTCTTCACTTAAAAAAACCCTGTTCCCAGCACTGAACAAACTTCTGGGAAAACTTCACCAGGATTGTTTGGCATTTTTCTTTACGTCAGCTTGGAGTGTTAAGTGTTCTGAAAAACCTGGAAATGTGTCCCAATAAATTCTCTTTCACCGAGAATTTGCTACTATCAATAAGAATTTCTGTTTTTCCCTTCATATTGACTTGGCTGAGGTTGCACTGCAGCTTAAAGGGAATCAGCTGGGTTTCACTCCTCCAGGTGGATGTAATTATTTCTCCTCGGTGATTATGGCTGTGGAAGCCCCTCAAGGGCACTGGGGCTTGCAGCCTCGTTGTTAAGGGACCTGATATGTCCTGCAATTTTATTAGACATGTTCATGGGAAGGCAGGAACCTGGCTTAATTCTGCAAGAGTCTCTAGGACTTGGAGCTGAAGAATGAATCCTCTGATTTGCAATAGAAAATGAGAAAGCAAATTCATTCCCAGAATAAAGAAAGATGACTGTCCTTAGCCCAAGTGCCAGCACCTCAGCTTTATGTATTCTTTCCAACTGCAGTGCTGTGAATTCCTGGGGTTCAGCTGATGAGTGATGCTGTGGTAAATCACACTGAATCTGATAGTGTCTCAAGACACCAGTCTTGTCTGCAAACTACATCAGCAAGTCATCACAGATTTTCCAGGTTAGCAAAATCTCAAATCCAGCAGTCTCTGCTGCTTTTTCTCCACCCCAGTTCATCTATCCCACTTGATACAGCCAACAGCTGCTGCACAGCACAGCCTTGCATTCTTTCAGTGGCTTACAGAAAAGCAGATAGGTGAAGGATCACTGTTTTCTGAGCCTTACCAAGACAATAAGGCTTTTGAGAATTCAAATCCCCCCTTGAAAGATCCTTGAGGCAGCCTTGGGTGAGTTCCCTCACCAGGCAGGGAGGACTGTCCCCGATGCCAGCCTGGGTCTATGTGAAGCAGCAAATGGAGCACTTCTGTGGAGATGGATAAATGGCCATAATGGCTCTGGACTGAAATAAAATACAGCATGCTCTTACAGGCTCCTGGCAAAAAGCAAAAAGGAGCTTCTGTACTTGGTACCCAGGCAACAAAGCTGATCACTAAGAAACAGGCTACTTGTTTTTTTCCTTATGCAAGATTCACTTTTTATGGCTTTCATTTTCAAAGTATGCAGAGCTCCTCTTACCTCAGCATTAAGTGCTATTGTATTATAATGCACAAACACAGCTATGTGTGTGTGTATATATATATACACACAACTTCTTACCAGCCTCATTAAATAGGGATTAGCTCATAAAGTCTGAATGCAGTCCAGTCTGCCCTGCATGAATACACTGAGTCCTGCCTTTGGAGAAAACATCCTGAGCAGAAGCTGTTTGAGATGTGGTATAGGCACTGGAGTGCTTGTCTGAGGAATGGTACTAAAAAAGGCGGGAGAGCAAGCAGAGGTGAGGGGGTTCATTACAGGTCACAGACATGCTCTGGCAGAGCCAGGAACAGCATACAGCACTTGAATTTCAGCCCAGCATGCTGGACTAAATATCTTCTCAGAAAGCTTTACAGATGCTGCCTCTTCTGCCAGTCTAAAAGGAACATTACTTTTATTCATTGTTCATTTTATTCATTGTTTCCTTCTTATGAAAATCAAGTACACCTCGGGGGTCAGCCATCCTTCCTAATTTTCAAAGCCCACAACTTTGAAGGAACTTTAAAGCCAGGGCTAGCAACTGCTGTCTAAAGAACTCTGATATTCTGTGAGGGCAGCCATGAGAAGCTCCAAGCTCCCACCAAGTGAAAAATACAGCAGTGCCAAAAGGCACAGCCTTGAACAGAGCTGAAGCATTACCAGTTGCCTGTGTCCTGACTCAAGATAGAGATCTCCTCCCCAGCAGTGCACTCAACATTTAGTTGGGCAGTGGAAAAGCACTGCCTGCAATCATCTTAAACATTTGCTGACCTCTGCTCTGGTGTTTGCCATCTGGAAACTCTCAGAGTTTCCTCTCTGCATGTGCTTTTTTCTCCCTGCCGTTGCACTTCCTCCTACAGTCTGTGAGGCAGCTGTTATGCTGTGTTTGTCTAGATATGTGTATTGAAGGCAAAGGGCACTGCAGTTTCTGTGTTAAAAACCTAAGTCTTCCATGCTGAATAATCCCTCCAAGCCCGTGGCCCAGCACTTATTGCTGCATCTCACCAAATAATACACTGGAAAACAGCAGAGACTGTGGCCCTAGGAACCCATTGCAAGTGTGCATAAAGAGAAGAAGGAATTGAAAGGAGGAAAGAAGCCTGCTGTAATTACCTAGCACAAAGAACACTAAATAATACAATAATATCCTCAGGAAGAGATTATAGAGGATTGTGTGTAATGTCTCAGGTCTGAAGGGTTTAAAAATTCACCTCAGAATGAAAGTCTAATTAGAAGGCTACTGTTGCAAAGACAAGTTATTTCACTTGTCTTCACTATTATTTCACAAATGCCTCATTAGAGTTGTTTGGAAAAATACTGGTTTGTCTTTAGAAATAAAATGAATAATTTTTTTCATTTTTTAATCATAATTCATTTACATTGAATTATGTTTTGGATGAAGGCTCAAGACAAAAACTTTAGGTTTTTGAAATTCTCTGAGGTCTTTTCACTCCAGTCTGAAAGTGTGAGCAATCTAAAGTAAAATGGAAGTTTTTCCTAATGTCTTCATTTATTTTCCTTTCTGACCTCTGCCAACTAGTTTTGATTTTTTTCTATATTTTTGCTTAGCTTAATTAAAAATATGCAGGCTTGTACACCTACAAAAGTATTGAGTAACTGACAGGTAGTGATGCTTCCTGAGGAGCAATTGGATCTCATGGTTATGATCCCTTCTACTATTCAACTTAACCAAAAGAAGACAAAACAAGAACTAGTAAGTCATAATTAAGCAGAAATTTCCATGGCTGAATGCTCCAGCTGTGTTATATGTGAAACCACACTTGGTGTCACAATTTCTGTTCTCACTTCCCAAGAAAGTAAAGACCAAAAAAAAAAAAAAGAGGACAGGATGGAAAAGAAAGACAAAACTGGAGAGGCTGTAAATAGCAGTTTTAAAATG